GGAGGGAAATAGCAGATTTTCTTCACACATTACAGAGCAGACTGGTTGGGTCTGGGTTCACCACACTGTGTCAGACATAACCGCAATCACACACAGGGACCAGGCCTCCTTTTATAGCAGGGAGGTCTCCTGGCAGTTCCCTGTGAAACCGCAAATGACTCGGGCGCTGGCAGGAGGAATTTGGGGAGAGGAAAGGCCGGGCACAGAATTGACACGGGGCACTCTAGATGTCCACAAAACTCCATGATAAAAGCATCGAGTTTTTGCCCTAATGCTAGAATGCCCCCGATGACACGCTGACGTCACTACTGGGTGCACGTTGCTGGCACTGTCATTACATCGCCAGTGAAGGCCCCCTAGCCTCCCAGTAAGTATTCCACCACTAGTCCTAGTCATGTGTGAGCTGAAGATTCTATGCAATTCCCACATGTGTGGTGCCTAATTCGGATCAGGAGGACCACAAAGCACACAGAGAAGGAGCCTCAGCTTTCCCTCTTGCACCATTTCGCTAGCCTAAAATAGTGCCAAGCTCTGAGTGAAGGGCAGGGTATAAATCCAATCTCCCCCCCCCCCCAGTCTGATCCAGTATAGGGCAGCTCCGTGTATGCTCATGTATGCATGTTCTTTGATGCCGTCGTAATGGCTGGTGGCTTGATTGCAGTGCTTGATTGCGGCGCTCTGATTATATGAGCCATTGGGTGAGTTCAGAGCTGAACGTCTCCTTCCAAAATGGCTGCCTAAGGAGGCGGAACCAACTGAAATGCCTCCCTCCTACTACGTCCTGGGAAGAAGAAAAGCCTGAAGGGGGAATGGAAACATACACTGATTCAGGAAGGCCCACGTGCTCGCCAGTCCTGCTCATTCTTCAGTGGGAAACCCTTTTCATTTGAAAGATGGCAGCCAATAGCGAGCCCAGTCTTACAGTGGCCCCACCCACTTTCTGAAAAACTCAGCGGGCGCCAAGGGCAGCAACCAGCGGGCTCCACTGGGTGCCGCTTTACAAACTCTGATGTAGGGAACGCCCCGTGTCATTGAGACATTAAACTTATGTTGTGATAGTGCAGGGCAAATTTTCTCAAAGGTTTCTGGTCCAAGATGACCCATTCACCATGTTGAGTCTCTCATTCTGGCAGGTCTTGTACAGACATTACAAAGAGTGGTGTGAGCAGGGGTCATTTAGTAGAAAAAGAGGTGCAGGAGCTCATTAGCATAATCCATTAGCATAGCTTATTTGCATATGCCACACCCCCTGTCATCACCAGAAGTGTGTCAGAAGGCAACACCCACCGCTCAGGCTCTACTGGGCTGTTTTGGATTGCTAGCTATGGGGGGGGGGGAAATTATGCAGATCTGTCCTTGCAGAGGAGGGAGAGCTTGTCCCTGAATAAAACTTGGTCTTAAAGGTGCCACTGGACTATTTTGGACCGGGGGGCCGGGGGGGGCTCTGCAGCTTACCTGACTGCTTCTTACTCTGAGGGCTGCTGGGAGCAGAGGGCGGAGCTTGTTGCAAACTGGGGAAATGCTCAAACCGACAGCAAGCTGAGGTTCTTCTCAGGGTTCTGCAAGCTGAGGTTCTTCTTACGGTCTCTCCTTTTGCTCGCCTTCGACCGCTTGGTTGTCTGTGCGGGGCTGACATCTCCCGTAGCATTTAATGACCGTGTTTCTGCTTTTCTGCACTCCAGGCTCTGGGTTTTATATTTGAATCACATCCCTGGTTTGTTTGGGTTTTTTAAAAAACATTTTGGGCACCTTCGCCTTTCATCATCCATCAGGATTCCAGGGTATAAGTAGTCAGGTTGTCTGAATGTGCTGTATCTCCCGCTGAACTCGGGATGGGAGGTGGGTGAAGCGAGCCCGTAATTGCAGTGTTTGTTTGGGAACAGGAACTATGTGTTCTTCTCTTGAGCTCTCGAGACCCTGATTTTTTGTGCTCCTGTGTGTGTTTGTTGCATTTCGCAGTGATTAGCTTTTGTAGCCTGGCGGTTTGTGTTGCTTTCTTTCCTTCTCCCGCGACTTTGAAGTGAACCACTTGCTGTTCACCTCTGGTTTGGAGGCGGTGTTAACAAACACCGCACCATGCGGCATTCGGGATGTTGTTATAGAGACCCTGGAGAGTTATAATGAATTTCTGCCTGGAATGGTATGAATTAGATTTACAAAAGGCGCTTTCTGTTTTGTTTTGGTGGCATTTGTGGAGTCTGTAGAAATGGGTTTCTGTGTCATCCCCTGAGATTATTCTTCAAGCTTCTCTAGGTTTAACATGATTTTATGATAAGTGCCAGAAGCAATAACCAGAAGGGGGTTTTGTGCATTAAGACAAGCCCAGAGTGCCTGCTTTGCTCTAGCACTTACCTTCTTCTATACTCTCACAACTTTGCAAAGATATTCTTCTGTGAGACAGATTCCCCAGGTCTTCAACAAGATTTGACTTCCCTAAACCAGGCGGCTTTAGGATCTCAATATGAGATTTTGTTGAATTCTTTCTTCCCCCAGCGTGGTGACCCTTCCAAGAATGATGCTGAGGCTGCTTCTCAAAGACTTCCTCCCTGTCTCGGCAGCATTCCTTCCAGAGTTGGTTTTTTCTTAGAACAGGAGTCCCCGGCCTTTTTTCAGTCTGTGGGCTCCTTTGTAATCATGACACAGGGTGGCGGGCGCAACCACAAAATGGCTGCCACGAGAGGCGGGGTCAGCCACAAAATGGCTACTGTAGGAGGCGGAGCCACACATACACAGGAAACTCCAAGCACAGGTGAGAAGAAGGGTAATTCCGAGAATTAATTGGGAAGGAGAATAAAACTAACACTGGCCCTGGTCACACGAGCCGGATATCGCCGGGGGGGGGGGCGTGGCTGTTTGCCCCGGAGCGAACTACTACGTGGCCGCGGGATCACACGTCCTGCTGACATCCGGTGGTGGTGGTGGGGAGCCCGGGGAGGTGCCGATCAGACGGCGTGGCGAAGAAGCGGCGCTGCCGTGGCAAACGGAGTTGTTTTTTTCTTTTTAACCCAAGTATGCGCTTGCGCTGTTGGGTGCTTGTGCGCATCCTGTGGAGACTTTTTAAAAAAAACACCTTTGCGACGGGACATGGGCGGGCGCCGGATGCCACGGGATTCCACCAGAAACGCGATCAGGCGCCCGCCCTTGCCCTGCGGTTTCCGGAAACTAGTACCTCCAAGGTACTAGTTTTTTACCCCGCATCTTCAGCGGGAAGCCTCGGGTTCGCCACGGGAGTTCTGCGCTTCCCAGGTGTGGCGGTGTGATTGTGCCCAGAAAATCCGCCTATCTTCCGTCTCTGTAGCGTGGCTAATGCTCCGTGTGACTGGGGCCACAGTGTATTTAATTTGTCCAGCCGATTGGATCTCCAGTGGCCAACTAGAAGCCCTGCTGAAGAAGAGCCCCGCCATTTTATAGAAACATTTGGTGGGGGCCAGGAAGGGTGTTGTCAGTCACCATGGTGGCCTTGGGTGCCACGTTGGGGACCCCCGTCTTAGAATGTAAAGGCAACAAATACTGAGAAAAAACACTGTGTATAATCAGTGGAATCGAAGTATTTGTGTATTATATTTATGCCCTTCTCAGTTATACTCTAATAAACATTATTGAAGAAAAAATTAAATTCCAATAGAACTTCCAGTAAATATTGATATGAATTGATATGAGAACTGGCAGGCCATTGGAACTAATTGATGGTGAGTTACTGCTAGAAAAATGTGTTGCGCATCGGTTCCGTTTCAAATTTCTGCAGTAGAATTGCGACCGTGAAGAAGATCTCACCTTGAAACGTGCTTAAAGTCCAGGGTGCGCGTAGTTGCGTGGTTACCATCTGTGTCGCTTGATCATCAACTTTTTGCCGAGATACTGACAAGCCCTCTAGAATTGACAGTCACTATTGCCAGGGGACTTTGGTGTCTGATTGCTCTACACTAATTGTTATCACTGGAATTATTCATATCAATATTCATTGCAAGTTCTGTTGGAATTTAATAATACAAACCATATTTTTTCCTTAAATAATGTTTATTAGAGTATAATTGAGAGTATTAGAGTATAATTGAGAAATACCTAATGAATAATTGGATTCAACTGATTATACACAGTGTTTTTTCTCAGTATTATTGACTTCAGTACACTGTGTTTCTCCTGTGTTTTTGTTATTAGAATGTCAAGGCGCAACTACCATTACGTAGGAACATATCAGGAGGTGATATTCCTCTATTATCCTGTCTCCTCCCCCTCCAGTGAAATTCTGGACCCACCACTGTGAAAGGGAGCAATTTTGTCAATGTTTATTTTGCCTTAAAAACCGTCACATCCAGTTTTTTTCAAGACACGATGCAGTATCCTCACCATCTGAGTGGTTTGCAGTATGAAGAATATTGAGTGGTCATAAGAACATAAGAGAAGTCAATGTTGGATTGGACGAATGGCCCATCTAGTCCAGCACTCTGTCACCCAGTGGCCAAAAATACCAGGTGCCATCAGGCGGTCCAGCAGTGGGGCCAGGACACTAGAAGCCCTCCCACTGCCCCCCCCCCCAAGCACCAAGAATACAGAGCATCACTTACCCCAGACTGAGAGTTCCTGTCTATACCTTGTGGCTAACAGTCACTGATGGACCTCTGGTCCATATGTTTATCCAATTCCCTCTTGAAGCCATCCATGCTTGTAGCCACCACCACCTCCTTTGGCAGTGAATTCCATGTGTTAATCACTCTTTGGGTGAAGAAGTACTTCCTTTTATCTGGCCACCAAGCACTGACTATTTATTTTATTTTATTTAAAATAGTTAGACACACACCCCTTTTCTCCCACTCATCTTGGCAAGATTGTTCTCCTAGTAAACCAGGCAGATGTTATCATTGAACCCGGCAGTTCACAAACCGGTCTCTTACCATCTACGTTATATTATTATTTTTGTTTGTTTTCAGCCTCTTACTGTTTCAATATTTTTCTTTGTCTGTAGTTTTCTTGAACTCTCTGTTCTGTCTTTTATCTTGAAGGTTCAGTTGTCTCAGGCGCTGGAAGAAGCTGGGAATCAGAAGAAAAGAGCAGATGTGGTAAGTTAGGTGTTCCCCCCCCCCCCTAATTAAATCCTTTGCAGTAGACGGCAGCTCAAAACATCTTTGAACTTTTCCCGTCTGAAATTTTCATCATCAAAAGGCGTTTCACAATGGAACAGGTTGAAAAGATGCCATAACTGTGGCGAGGGGGGTGTGCGCACGCACACATACCCCTAAATACAGTTTGGCCTTGGGTTGCCAACCTCCAGATGAGGCCTGGAGAACTGGAACTATAGCTGATCTCTGGTCTCCCGGATAAAATGGCTGGTTTGGAGGGTGGACTCTATGGCATTATCGCCCTCTGAGGTCCCCCCACTCCCCAAACCCCGCCTTCCCAAGGTTCCACCCCTAAATCTCCAAGAATTTTTCAACAACACAACTTTGCCACCCCCTTGTCAGGATGGTGTCAGTCATGCTGGGGAGTAGAAACATGTTGCTCCTAGGTATCCTTCTTCATCCAGCTCGGTGTAGTGGTTAGGAGCGGCGGACTTTAATCTGGGAGGACCGGGTTTGATTCCCCACTCCTCCACATGCAGCCAGCTGGGTGACCTTGGGCCAGTCACAAGTTCTCTCAGAGCTGTTCTCTCAAGAGCAGTTCTCTCTGAGTTCTCTCAGGCCCAACTACCTCACAGGGTGTCTGTTGTGGGGAGGGGAAGGGAAAGGAGACAGTAAGCCGCTCTGAGACTTCGAGTGAAGGGCGGGGTAGCAATCCAACTCTTCTTCTTCTAAAGCCCAAAGATGTAATTGTACATATTAGATTCCATGTCAAAAATGAAGTCAAATGAGGGGAAGATCTATGTTTTATTTCAATTAACAAGAAAACAGTTGGACCAAATAGTCCATCCAAAATTGACTACTTTCTTCTCAGCATATTCAGAAGATATGCTTCAATTAACAGGAAAACAGTTGGACCAAATAACTCATCAAAAATTGACAACTTTCTTCTTCATCTTCTTCTTGAACATATTCTGAACATATTCAGGAAATACATGATATTTTATACATGGACTGACATCATAAAGAAAACAATATTCAAAAAGCATAATCTATATATCTAATAGTGAACTTGCCCCCGGAGTGCGGATCGCTAAATCAGCGCTCCGGGGGCAGCTGGTGGGCCGGGGGAGGTTTGTGCACACGTGGGCCAGTCCCCACGTGTGCACAAAAATAAAAAAAGTTAAAAATTTTTTCGGGGGGATGTTTAAATCCCCTTGAAAGTGCAAGAGCGTCTGCGAACGCTGCCGCCGCCTCCTCCTCCTCCTCGGAGCCGGCAGGCAGGCAGGCCGGCCGGGTGGGTAGGGAGGGAGGGAGGGAGGGAGAGAGGGCGGGGAAGACATGCCTCGCTGCCGCCTCCTCCCCGGAGCCGGCAGGCCGGCCGGGAAGGGAGGGAGGGAGGGAGGACGGGTGGGGAAGAGAGGCCTCGCTGCCGCCGCCGCCTCCTCCTCCCCGGAGCCGGCAGGGTAGGGAGGGAGGGCGGCCGGGCGGCCAGGGAACGTGAATATCGCGGGTCCCCCTCTTGTTGGTTATAAAAGACAATGGTAATTTGAGTAATAAGCCTCTGATTTGTCGGATGTAAAGAAACATATATCTATGTCAGATCTACGTAAAACCTAAGTGTTTACTTAACCTAACCTAAATGATAATGGACAAGGATTCTTCATATCCCAAAGAAAAGTATTTTTACTGGTACGAGACTAAAATCTTCTCTGACCCAGACATTGCAAGGTTTTGCCCTTAAGAAGTACAGAATCGTGAACTTTGTACCTATTATCTTGTCTGCTAACAATATCAGACATACAAGGGGAAATCCTTCTATATAACAGGCCTTTCTAACATTCTAATAAAATATTACTTAAAAGAGAAATCTATAAAACCAGGAAAAAATATGAATGTGAAGAATCAAGAAGAAAAAAACCTATATTAAAAAATCTTTATATTCCCATTCATACTACAACGTGTTTATTTGTTCCCCAGGAGAAAGTCATGTTCTTCCCATGCTGTGGAGAGTAAAAGACCAACTGTGATCTCCCCTAAGAAGGTGCCACACCTCTCTGAACTTAAGGCAGGGTCCCAACCAAGGGTCAGTCACGCCCTTGCTCTCTGGCTCGTCCAAAGCCATCCTCAATCTCCATGATTACTTGGCGAAATCTCTAAGCGTGTCTCAGGCAGCGTTCCCTCTAAGCTGAGCTAGTGGGAGCTAGCTCATCATTTTTTAGCCCCCGGCTCACACATTTTCCTCTCAGCTCAGGAAGGATGACTTCCAGAGCAGACTAAATTTATGCAGTAGCCAGATTACCCACTCACAACTTTAATGCCAGTCGCTCACAGAGTAGAATTTTTTGCTCACAAGACTCTCCACGGCTTAGAGGGAGCACTGGTCTCAGGTGGTTTATGCATTGCCACTCTGTGGGGAAAATGTTTCAGGTGGGCGGCCGTATTGGGTCTGTAGCGGAAGAGCCAGATTCGAGCCCGGAAGCACTGCCTACAAGATTTTCGGGGAATATGCTTTCAAGAGTCGAGATACCTGACGAAGGGAGCTTAGACTTTCAAATGCTTATTTACCCCCCCAAAAAAATCTTGTTGGTCTCCAAGCTGCTACTGGACTGGACTCTAGCTAGTCTGCGGAAAAGGTTCCGCCCCTCTTTCCCCCCCCTGGTTGTACTGCCACCTTATGGATAGAGCAGCGGCCCCCAAAATGGTACCTGTGGGTGCCATGGTGACTCGGGACACCTTTTCTGATTCCTACCAAGTATTTTTGGAAAGTGGGTGGGGCCAAGAGAAGAAGACTGGATTTATACCCCATGGCCCTTCACTACCCGAAAGAGTCTCAGTGCGGCTCCTGAACTCCTTTCCCTTCTCCTCCCCACAACAGACACCCTGTGAGGTAGGTGGGGCTGAGAGAACTCTGACAGAAACTGATCTTTTTCAAGGACAGCTCTTGTCAGAACTATGGAGGAGGAGATTTGCATTATACCCCACCCTTCACTACCCGAAGGAGTCTCAGTGCGGCTTACAAACTCCACCCTGAGAGGAAGGTGGGGCTGAGAGAGCTCTGACAGAATATGCTCTTCTTCAAGAACAGCTGTGCCAGAACTATGGAGGAGGAGTTTGGATTTGTACTCCCCCTTCACTACGCGAAGGAGTCTCAGAGCATCTTACGAACTCCATTCCCTTCCCCTCCCCACAACAGACACCCTGTGAGGTAGGTGGGGCTGAGAGAACTCTGACAGAAACTGATCTTTTTCAAGGACAGCTCTTGTCAGAACTATGGAGTCGGAGATTTGATTTATACCCCACCCTTCACTACCCGAAGGAGTCTCAGTGCGGCTTACAAACTCCACCCTGAGACGAAGGTGGGGCTGAGAGAGCTCTGACAGAATATGCTCTTCTTCAAGAACAGCTGTGCCAGAACTATGGAGGAGGAGTTTGGATTTGTACCCCCCCCCCCTTCACTACGCGAAGGAGTCTCAGAGCATCTTACGAACTCCATTCCCTTCCCCTCCCCACAACAGACACCCTGGCAATGTTCCCTCTAAGCTGTGGAGTCTCGTGAGCAAAAATTCTACTTTGTGAGCTACTGGCATTAAAGTTGTGAGCAAGCCATTTGGCTCCTGCATTAATTAGTATGCTCTGGAGCCCTCCTTCCTGAGCGGAGGCAAAAATATGTGAGCTGGAGGATAAAAAACTGTGAGCTAGCTCACTCTAACTCAGCTTAGAGGGAACACGGCCTGTGAGGTGGGTGGGGCTGAGAGAGCTCTGACAGAAACTGCTCTTTTTCAAGAACAGCTGTGCCAGAACTATGGAGGAGGAGGAGGAGGAGATTTGATTTATACCCCACCCTTCACCACCCGAAGGAGTCTCAGCGAGACTCACAATCTCCTTTCCCTCCCCCTCCCCACGACACCCTGTGAGCAATGCTCCCTGTAAGCTGTGGAGTCCTGTGAGCAAAATTTCTACTCTGTGAGCTACTGGCATTAAAGTTGTGAGTGAGAGATTAGGCTGCTGCATAAATTATTTTGCTCTGAAACCATCCTTCCTAAACTAAGACAAAAATGTGTGAGCCAGAGGCTAAAAAACTGTGAGCCGGCTCACACTAACTCAGCTTAGAGGGAAGGCTGCCTGTGAGGCAGGTGGGACTGAGAAGGCTCTTTCGAGGACTGTTCTTGAGAGAGCAGCTCCGGGAGAACTTGCGGCTGACTGAAGGTCATACCAGCAGCTGCATGTGGAGGAGTGGGGAATCATAACTGGTCTTCCCGGATTCAAGTCCATGCTCTTAACCACTACACCAAACTGACTTTTGCCCAGCAAGTCTTCTGATTGGCCGCTGGAGATCTGATGGACACAAGGAACTTCACTGTGGGATTGAAGGTGAGCAGTGGTACTTCGTGGCTGCCTCCACCTCCCGTGGCTGCCATTCTGTGGCTGCACCCACCACCCTGGGCCAGAATTCCTAAGTTGCTTGGAGAGTCAAAAAGGTTGGGGGACCCTGGGGATCGAGCTGGTGGGCTGCATTAGATTTCCCAGAGAGGAGACCATACTTCGTGGCCCTTAAGATTTGTGCCTTTTGCAGCACACCCTCCCGATTCTTTGAATGCCACCTAATTAAACGTCGGAGTATTAATATGAGAAAATAGCCTGGTTGCATTCAGAAGAATAAATTTGCAAGTCCCCTGCCAGGCTGAGGAAAGAAACACGGCCTTTTTATATCACATCGTATGGTTCCCTGCAGGAGGAACTTGTTTTTCTGGAGCTGTAGAGTTGGGTTGCCGGTGTGGTGGTGTAGAATTTCCAGCAAACAAATTTCTGGAACAGGGTTTCTCTCCCTCGGCCCAAATATTCCTTAGTTTAGTCTGTTGCAATCTGTACAGTACAGGAACAGAGAACCACAGCGCTTCAAACAACAAAAAGAAGAGCATAAGAACATAAGAGAAGCCAATGTTGGATCAGGCCAATGGCCCATCCAGTCCAACACTCTGTCACACAGTGGCCAAAAATAC